ACCTGTGAGTTTCAAATTTTAATAATTCTAGCATTTTATAGAATATATAACAAACAACTTTAAATCAATCTGAATAAAATCAAATTAAAATGAATTAAATCGTTTTTAAATATTAATAAAGTCGAAGAGAACTCCAATAACTCCTAATTATTTTTGTATTATACGAGTAAGTAAATATTTTGATATGCTTAAAAAATAATTAAAGTTAACGACATTTTAAAATCTTACGCATAGTATATGTAAGGGATAGCGTTTCCTCTTTTGTTTGCAGATTTCGTTGAAGAATTGTGTTTGAGTTGTGGGGAAGGCATGAACAATAGATTTAAAAGTGACTTTATGAAAGGCCACAATTGATTTTTTGCCAATTAAGTGATGTGAGTGATGTGAAGTGAATAAATATAAATCATATCATATCTAAATAGTTTAAAAATGACTACTTTTTTCCGGTCCAGAAACTTCTTAAGGCACTCTTACTGTCTTAAAACCTGAAGAGAGGACTTACGACAACACAAGTACATAAGTAATATAAATTTTTAAATTTTAATTGGCCCTTCTAGATAACTTTGAATATTTTATTGAGCCATGTTTGTGCACCACTTGCTGTTAATATTTTGACTCGAGTCATAGAGTAATACAACAAATATTTATTCAAATAAATAACATTTGCAAACTGTTTTATGTGCCGCGCAACATTAAAGGTTATAGACGAATATTTTTTTTATTTCTCATGGTTTTTGTTTAATGCAGCTTTGAGTTACAACATAACAACCTTTAAGTTGGCTTTGGTTACTCACAATATTGCTTCAATGTTGTTGGGCGTTCAATTTGTCACTCTGATGAATAATCTCCATTGCATGTTTGAAATAAATAATCATAAACAATTTACCCATCAAGCAATTAATTGATAAGCTATCAATTAGTCAATGTTCATCTCAGACTGTGTCTAATTGTTGCAAACGTCAAACGCACGATTTGTATAAAGAAGACGAGTACAAGTAGATATAACAAGTATCGCACAGTGGTTTAAGGGCAATAACAATTGCCATTTTTCAATCTTGTTTGCCAATATTATAATATTAACTTTAAAAAAATATATATATTTATGGGAAGACTAAGAATCGTACAGTTTTACTTTACCAGCGATTCCTATAAAACTATGCGCCTGATTAAAAAAAAGTTTCGTTTTTTAATAAAAGTATAGTGAAATATTTGAAAAATGAAAGCATATTGGCCGATTTACTACAATGATGCCGAACCACAGTGCCTCGGTTAGTTTAATTGCCACAAAGGCAAGGAACCCAGAGTATTGATCTTATGTTATTGTTGTTGTTGATAGTGTTTTAGCAACTATGCAGTAAACAAACAAAAATACATAAGTATATGTAGTACATTGGTTGTAAAACAAACACAAATCAACAACAAAAACGGCGCACATACATTTTTCATCATTTTCATTTTCATTTGCAATTTGTTTATAGCAGCTGCTGCTGTTGTTGTTGTTGTTGGCGCCCGCCAACATTTTTGATTGACTTCGTTAACTTTTGAAGGGAGGGGTGTGCGAGTAAAAATGAATGCACATATCGAAAAAATCATAAAAATTGTTAGAATTTAAAGTAGAGGCGATTAAGCAGTGGCTGTTCAAATTGAATTAAATTCAGAATTATTGCTTATGGCTTTCGGCTCATGGCGCTATTTCCAGTCCAATCTCCGTACGCTCCAATTGTTTGCATTGCCCCTACAAGTTTCAAATCAATGAAAACTAATTTCAATATCGCCATAGATAAATGTTCGATCGACTTTATTTATTTTAGTTGCCCTGCCCGATGATTTGTTAGTTGAAATATTTGAAAAAAAATCTATTAGAATTTTTTGCTCTTTTGCTTTTGTTTTTATTATCAAATTTTTTGCTGCGGCTTGTAGCTGCTGGCGGATGGTTTGTTGAAAAATTGCGCATATGTGTGCAATATAAATAGATCAAGTGCATGTGGCAGTTATTTTAAATAATATATGTATACAAATATTTATATGTACTGCAGTTTATATTAACTGTCAGCGTTTGCAAAAAGGAAATGTCTAAATACCAACTGAGAAATAATAAACAATTGTTGACGGCCTTGCCAAATTCAAGAAGCTGCTTTATAAAATATAAATTTTTTGTATCACATTTTTGGCATTCAATATTTAGGATTATAAATATTTAATGAATCAATAGCAAAAAAATTAAGCCGAGCATATAGTTTGACACTTCAATTAGGTAAATGGCTATTTTATTCCCAACTTATAGCTTTTTGAAAAACTACATTTGTCCAGGACGTCGAAGTTACGCAAAATCCTTTTAACACTATTCATGCGTGCCGACAGCCAAAAAATACATTTGTTGGACAGTTTTAAAAAAGACCTGTTTACTTCGCATCTTCTATACATTATATTTTCTATCGATCCAGGAGAATAAAGCTGACTCTATTTTATAGTAAATAGATTGTTAAAGCTTGATTTCCATATGAAAAGCACGGACTTCTTGATTTGTGAAGTACTTTTTGACAATTTTCCGTTTCTCGTCGATGTTAAAACGGTTAATGGTTGGTACCTTTTTTCCAAAAAATTAAAACTATTATAGAATGCTTAATTTTTATTAATCTGTTAAAGCAGAATAAAAGAAAGCTTGTGTTTATAAAATAAGTTTATAATCGTCAAACCCAAGAAGCTAAGAAATTAAACTAAAAAGGATCGTTTTTAATGACACTGCAAAGCAATTCTAGTATCAAAGGATGCCGAAAAAACACAAAAAATTGTCTTGTTAGATGATTAAGAGAGAGAGAGAGAGATAGAGAGAGAGTCTTATTATGATCTAACTAATGATACTGTAGGGGGTTCAATCATTTTCGAGACTCGATATGCTTCTCGTTGTGCTAATAAAAGAAGTCATGTAATTTTTGACATACATTTTAATAAACCTTTCACAATTTATGTACAGAATTAACATTTCAGAAGGGTGATTTCTAAACCAAATGATTAAATGGTTCCCACTAAACGACAACAATAATGAGTACTGTCTGCAATGATGTTGGCTAATCAAGTGGGCTGAGACATTAAAGCCTCGCCTGACGTCAGCAGCACACTAACAACCCATTTAGATTAATGGGGAAAGCTAATTCAGCAATCGCCCACAACATGTTTGGCGTGAAATGTTCACACTTGCCACCAACAAATAACTCGAATTGCCTAAATGCCTAGGTGTGAATAAATGTTTCTGTGTCTCTGACACCACTCAACGGCTAAATGTCAAAAACTTCAGGTAATAAACGGAATTTTATGCACATTTGACACTAAACTTTTACGGCTGTCACTTATCTCTCGAATTTGTCTATGGCGGGAGAGAGTCAAAACGCAAATGGCTTTGCTTTTTCCTTAACGACAAACACACTCCACTAAACACACACACATACACACACACTCACAGCCAAGTCAGTCATAATTCTTGTACGCCTTTTATGTCTCATTAAGTTGCAGGAGGAAGAGAGCAAAAGTTAGTTTAATTTCCTGTTTTGCAGTTACGCAGCAAATGGGGCGCACACGAAACTAGAGTTTAAAAAACTTGTCCAAAAAAACAGACAAAGCAGAAGAAGGCGAAAAAAGAGCAGGAAACTAGGTGAAAAGAAAAATAAGGCAAGCCTCGGCCACATAGAAGGTTACAAATGAGTAACAGAGCCACATAATTGGGGGTTTGGGGGGAAACCAACGTTGGTCTTGCAATAAATCTAAGTCTCCGATTTGGCGCTCTGTCTGTGAATAAGTTTATAACTGTGTGTGTGTAACCGACAAAATTTTACATTTTACGGTTTGTTTCCGTGTGTCTTTTTGAACAGAATTATTTGTTACTCCTATACACCTATAGACTGTGGCTGTAAGCGTGCTTAAAGGCTTTCCATATCAGCTCAGAGAGCTTAGTTTAAAGACAGTGTCAAATGAATTGAATATGCTGCCTAAAAATTCAATTTTATTCCACATTTACAGCAGAGATTCAGTTGCTGCTAAGTAAATGAGTTAAACTCCTTCTGCAAACCCTCAAATGGTAGTTTAACACATTTGAAATACACAAAACAAACTGCTCTACAGTGATGGTTACAGGCATTCGACCTAAGGATAGGAAGGAATGATGAGTATCTATATGTGTAACAACTAAGATACATTTTATTTCACATTTCCACGCTTCTCAATATAAAATTCCACATGGAACCAGTTTGTCAATTTTTGTTATTTTCGATCAAAAGCTTTGTTTATTGATCAACTAATTATTTATACATACATTTAAAAATATGTTTTCACTTTTTTTAGACCCACCTATGTTTAAAATTAGGTATGTATGAGTGGGAATCTGGACAATAGCTTGCTTAAAAATTTTATTGTATTATTATTATTTAACATTTTTGCATCATATATTAACCTATTGATTGTCTATAGAGTTATTGCTTTACTAATCAGTTCGCGAATAATGATCTCACTTTTCTTCTTTCTTCATTCTTTTAAAATATAAATAAATGACATTTTGTGTACAGTTTCCACTTACTTGCACTGCAAATGAAAAATTTCCATTTCATTTGATCAGCTTATTGCTGATTACATTTTTGGAAATTGCTTTTACAAGAGTCCTTCTACGATACAGTGGAAAATGGCGTATGGAAGCAGTTATATTTTAAATTGGTACACAATTTTGTAATGCTTTGTTCATTAAATTGCATTTAGTTTCATAACTTGTTTGATTATGCATATGAGGACATGTTCTTAACTTTTTTCACATTCGGCGCTTGCGTAATTAATTTTGCAAAACATTTTACGCGCTTCCAGCTTCTTGCCATTAGTCAAAGCTAAACTTTTAATGAGTGTGTCTCCTGCGTGAGTTTGTGTGTGTGTTGAAAGGAAACTCAATTTACAGCCTTGAAATATTTACACACCTTCTTACCCTACCCTCCCTACCTCCTCGCCGTATTCTCTGTACCCACCTGCCAAGTTTCTGCTGCGCTGCAAGGAGTGCGTGACGACGACGACGACGATGTTGTTGGCGATGCTTTGCCTCTATTTGTGATATCGTGTCATTTCCTGCCGCATTTAAACATGACTTCCTTCATAATTTTCTTGCTGCTTCTATTTACATTTACTAATTGTTTAGGCTCAAGTAAACAATTTGTGAAAACAACAAAGCGCACGAAAAAATTTACATTTAATTACGTAATCAGCACGACTCGAGTAAGTCCAAAAATATAGTCACAGGCTGGCGCTTTGATTTCCGTTTGGTACCTTCAACTTCCGGTGCGTACACAAATGCATGCACAGACACAGATACAGACACATACACATACACTTCACATCACGGCGCCATATTTTCATATATATGTATATATGTATATTTGTTTGCCTTTTAATTAATTTGCATTTAAAATTGTAGCGTTTAATTGCTGTTGTTGTTGTTGTTGATGTCTACCGTGCTTCTAGTTATTGTTATTGTTAATGGCGTGTTTTTCATGCCTCACTTTTTTCACTTTCGCTTCCACTTTCGGTTGATTAACATTCCGCGCACGTGCTGGAAATTCGTCAAAAATTAAAGTCATTCTTAATTGGTGGGGCTGGTGGGGCGTTTGGACTCTTTGGGGGTCTCTAGCTTTGAGGTTTCGAGTGCTGGACGTGTTGACGCGGTCAGTTGGTATGGTAGTTCGGATGGCGTCTACACGCAATTTTTCATGACCTACATTTGGGGAGGTGGTTGCCTAGGAACAACATTCTATTTAATGTATAATTTGTGTGCACCCTCCAAAGCCAAATTGTGTTTTGTGCTCGTCATGATAGCTTTTAACGAGACATGACAACAATATATCTGCCCCTGCTATAATTTTGCATTTTTGTAGTCAGTTTGTAGGATCTTTACAGTAAGTTTTTCTCATATTTTTTGTTGCTCTTTTTAAGGATATGTCACCGTTAAGCGTAACATCTTCATCAAAAGCCACTTGCTTACATTTTGGGTAAAGATTTCCGTTCACTTGAAATTCATTTAAACTTTAAACAACATTTATTCGCAATCAACGCAGAGTCAAAACCACTGAAGCCTTGCAATTTTGCAAAGTTTCTACAAAACTGAATCTGTCAGTCAGGGGAAAATTACTAGAGAAACTATAGTGATTGACGAAAGTTGAAAACCAAGCAGCACAGGCAACCTTATGACTTTAATGACTAGATGTTAGTTGTAATATGTGAGATAGGAAAAATATTAAGACAAAAATTAAAATGTAAGAAAAAAATGTAAAAGGATATCCCAAAAATATATATTTGTCTTTAAAGTTGAGATGAAATGAGCTAAAAAAATATAAATTAATACTGAATTTAGTTCAGTTAATGTCTAAAGCGGACATCATTTAAATTTTATTTTAAATTAATTGCTATAACACTTATTGTCAAAAATAAATTAATTTAAAATATAAAAAAATATTAAAACATAATACTAAGCAGTTGAATTAACAAAGTTTATTGGTGAATGCTATTTATATATAATATATAAATCAACAAAGAAATATAAAATAAATAAATAAAAAAGTAAAGCTTAGAATAATTAAGTCACAGATTAATCTATTCTTCAAATTATAAAGTGCACAAAATTAGTTGCAGCCAACTTAAAACTCATAAAAGGTATACAAAAAACATCCCAAAACTTAAATAAAAAATAAGTTCCACTTTGTGAAACCTTATCATTTGTAAGTTCTGTATCCGTAGATAGAAAGGTTATACTAGAAAGTGTAAGTGCCAAACAGACAGAAGAAGGAGTGACCCCATTTTAAAGGTCCATATATGACCAGCACGTTAAGACGTATCGAATACTACTATATATCTTAAAAAATGTTGGTACTTATATGTTTTGTATAGAATATAATTATAACCTACAATAGAAACAATCACTCTTAGAACTAAGAACCTTTTGGTTTACTTCGATATCGCAATTTAATTTGATTTCTGAGCTGTTTATAGACCATGCAGCAATAGTTTAACGTTCTCATGGTTACAATTTAAAATATTGGCGGTCAGTTGTGGTTTTTATAACAATTTGAAAGGTCGTTGTTCTACTTATATCTCACTACAGTTTAAGAAATCATATTAGAACACATAAATTATTGATGTGTGCAGCACCCTGAGGTTTACATTCGCTTATGCGCTCGCATTTATAAACTCTTATGACTTTGATTGCCAATAAATTGAACTGTTTAATGATATGAATAAGCGCATATCAGATCTTATATAAATAAATAAATAAATAAATAAGTATATTCTGTCTGCACAGCGTGCTAAAATGAAGCCTTATTGTTAAATTTTCAATTTAATTATCGATTACTCATATGTTTTGGCATTAAAGGCATGTGGTATTTTAGAAAATATAATGGCTAGATAGCGCTCTATGTAAGTGCTATAACGGGGCGTATGAGTAATATGGATAGTACAATGTTAAGCGGCAGACTGATCAGACTGATCAATAAATAAACTTTTTAGGCATAGTCCGAAAACTACTTAATTTTGAAGACTAACAAATTGTATATTTAAAAAAAAAAATGCTTAAATTAAAAATTAAAATATACTAAATTTTCTCTTTCAGGCAACTTTACTTTAACAGAGGATTAACATAATTGGTAAGTGACTTAATTGAACTACGAACTTAATACGATAATAATTGTATAAATACAATACTTATTTACAAACTGGCTTTGTGGCTCGACTTGCTACATATTTGTGGCACAATTGATTGCCTCTAAACGAGTATACCTTAACTGTTGCTTCTCAGACTTGTGGATGGTTGCTGCTTAACTAGCAATAGAATTAAAGGTCTAATCTGCCGTTCAAATATTTAACTTTGCAAGAAGCAGGTCAACTTTTGGGAATTGAAGTTGTCCGTAGCAATCATTAGTTTTGATTTCCAAAATGCTTAGTTGAAATGTTTAAATGTTTGCTGCATGTGGAAAGTAGTTACACGGCTTAACCCTCCTGCTCTTTTCCTTAGTGTCTTTCTTTGTAACGAAAAGCCATTCATGAAATTGTGTTATTGTGTGATTCGTGCAACAAAGTCCCAGATTCTGACGGAAACAGAACAATTCAAGAGCGTAAACTTTTCACCAGAAACTAAGATAAGAACTAGATTGGTTTCCAAACCTTCCAATATCAATTGCTGCCCCAGAAATTAAAATAAGAAATAGTGCCGCACCTATTTCGGTGGGAATTGATTGGAAAATCTTCGCTAGCCTTGACGACTCTATCAAATATTTGTGATTTAATCTAGCAGATTAAGGCTGACTCTTTGCTGCCGATATCTTTGTAATTGTTTGTAACAAATTACAGTCATGGCCAGCAGGCAGCTTATTTATAAGTGGTGGCTAGCTGACTGGCATCACTGTAGAATCGTTTGAATTTAATTGACTTCATGTTGAAATTGCTCTCGTTTTTAATCAAATTGCACTTGATAGAGTTGCAAGTTGCATGCCTTATGCAATGGGCACGGTTTAATTAAATTGGCGACACAAATAAAAGTGTTGACCCCCGATGGCACCCATCAATAAATGTATTGCTATTGACACGTGTGTGTAGTTATTTAACTGAAAAGAAAACATTTCTGAGACTACCTGTCAAATATATATTTGATGTGTAATTTATTTGATTCCATTTATTTTGTTATTAAACGGAAATAAATTGTGTGTCGACCGCAGTACTCGTTGACTAATATATACACACTTTTCTTTAGTAGTTTTGTATTTTGTTATGACACCAACAGCATTTGTTTATTTTCTTTTATATTTTATTTTATTTGTTTTTTTTTCTGTGTCGCTGCATGCCAAATTGAGCAAATTATTTAGCGGCAAGCGTTTGCTAATAAATGTGTAATAATAAATGTGTATTTGCGTAAGAACCTTAGTTTTAAATTTTTTTTATATATTTGAGTACACAATTTTATTTCTATTTTGTTGAATTATTTGAACAATAAGAATTTATTTTGAATTCACAATTTTTGCGCGCCTTTACGATTTGAAATTTGTTTGAATATTGGGAGCGGTTGGCCGTTTGTTATCCGTCGAGACGAACGGCACGCGACGAAATTTCAAAACAAACTGACTTTGCGAATTTTCCAAACTGGTCCATTCAGTCTGAAAACCAAAGTGAAAAGCAGCCGAAGCGCAAGCAGCGCTGTCGAGCAGCATTGCAACGGCCTCGTCGACGACGTCGACGTCAGCGCCAGCAGCGTCGTCAGCTGCTGCTGATTTTCCGGTTAATGAGATGTTGCCGACGCGCTCTCAGCGAGGCTCTCTCTCTCTCTTTCGTGCGCTCTGTCGTTTAATAGTGGGAAATTGTGTTTGGCTTTGTTATGGGAAATTTGTGGGGCTATTGGTGGGTCGGGGGGCCGGGCATAGGAGATGAATATTTGCCACGTGCTGTGCGTATTTTATGAATGAAATATTCGAGGAAAACCGAAGAAAATAATCATCATGGGTTATTAGTTGTGCCTGGGCCGGAGACACCAGTCTTTAAATGACATTTGCTTGAGTGGTGGTAGAGGTGTGCAGGGAGAAGTGGTGGTTTCCATACCCTGAACAGGCAGAGTAAGCTATACTAGAAATTCAAAACGCCAAAATTATATTATGAGTATTATAAGATTAAATGTTAAATAAAAATGATACTCTATTTGTCCGTTCATTTGTTTTGCTGTTCGACTGTATGAACATCGAGAACTTCTGAACCACAACAGCTAGGAACACCTAACTTGGTATTAATCTTATTCATATGCAGAGCACGTTTAAATATAGCTGACATAGGAAGTATTGGTGGAAACAACACTCTTAGTAGAATAAATCTGACAGTTATCAGTGCTTTATTCTGTCTCCTGCTATTCTGATGTTGCATTAAAATCAGAGCGCTTAATCGTATACCTGTCATGGGATCGATCGGTGTAGCATTCAAGCTTAGAAGCAACAAATTTTCATTTATAAAGATATGATCAAAATCGGCTGTATATCAGATGGCTTCTATTACTTGGACGTCAGTGTATTCAAGAGTCGGATTGCCAAGGCTTTAAC